GCTTTAACCACGAGCTAACTGCTTAAAGCTAACTGAGATGGTGAACACCTGTTGCGGTGTTCACTCATATGTTCGTGGCACCATCTAGCGGTGGGGCGTGTGAAGTTCGCTCGTAACCCAAATTTTAGCTCTCAACTCAAAGCAAAAATATATCTGAGAGACTGTTTGTATCTCAAAAAACTTGTTAGTTAGGACACTCTTAAGTCAAGGTACCACTGTCTTTTAAAATGGTCTGTAAAGGATCACACTACATCTTCTAGTGAAATATAAAATAGTTTTTTTTTATGAGTGTATTTGTTTAATAGAAAAACTGCAAGTTGTGAAGCACAGTGGCTCAAGCAGCTTCTGACAGCTCATTAAGTCCAAGCTTCATCTCATTCTGTCACCACCTCACTGTTTATCTTCACTATGTCAATAAAAGTAGTCAGGACAGGTCCTGGTGAAGTGGTCTTTACTGCACCGTCACCTGACTTCAGGWTGTAATTTTCACACAGGAGCTGCAGTAACCAAGTCAAGCACAGTTGTTTGTTAGTTGTTTAACACCATCAGGCTTACAGGTGATCACAGAAAAGGCAGAAGAGAACAGGATATGTGTGATCCATCATATCAAAATGAGGATTCAGTTAAATTTGGTCAAAATGACCTMATTACATTTTCAGATTCTTGTCTTTAAAAGCTACATTTTGATACCTGGATCATCCTGATATCATAATTAAATCCATATATATGACTTAATTAGTCTTGTTGGTTACAATAATACATAAATATTTGGTCTGAATCCTAATTTTATGTCATTTTAATGAGGAATATTTGATGTCCTTAAAGAGGAAACCTCAAATTATATTTGAATATTGAGATTTACCAGATAAAAAGAAACAAAACTTTACTAACTCACAGGGAAAATTTTAAAATTTTAAGGTGTTTTTCCTCAAAATCAGTTTTTTTGTTGCTACTGCTCAAAAAAGTGCTTCAAAATTCAGTTTTATGATTATATTTCAGACAGTTCATTCAAATGATACATTAATAAGACTTTTATTCATTATGTTTTGACAAAATGCAACTTTTTTTAACATTTTAGTCAAAACACTATTTTTGCCTTTTTCTCTGTATACCACTTAGACTTAATCCTCGTTTTGATGTGACGGGTCACATTTATTAAATTATTATTGATTTGAAATGAGTTTTTTTCAAACATTACTGAAAACAAGTAACTTTCATGACTTTCTCTTGATTTTGTTACTTTCAAAACATCTCATTTTACCTTCAGAGTAAATGGGATGAATACACAATTTAAAGCTTCTACTTTTAAAAAGATTTAAACCAATCCCCCATTAGGAGTATTTTGTGTTGGTGTGTTACTTTTAAATTCCAGGTTGTACGGCAACAACAACTGAACATTAAGGAGTGAATAACTTTGTAAAACTGTTTAATTTTAAGACAAACCGTTGAGCTTCAGATATCCTGCGTGTTGTCCTCTTCTTAGAAACTTCTTATATTCAGTATGCATTGCCAATGCAATGCACACTATTGTGATTAGTTTCCCATCCAAGTCATCTCAACTTTGCCATGCTTCTCC